TCTTAATACCTAGCCAAAGGCACAATGCTTGATAAATAGGCCAGCAATAAATATGCTCTCCACCAGTGAATTCGTACCTTTCTTCTTTACTAACAAAATGTCCCCACTTCTAGTAGACTGATAAGTATTCAAAACTCTGGCTGGAGATAAAGGTAAGTCTTCCTTGGTATGGTAAATGTGTTTCTAAAGAAGTAAATTGAATTAGTTCTAATGTGCTAAAAAAGATTGCTATTTAAAGGTTTCATTTAGTCGATCTTTTTGTGAAGGGAAGCATGTGATTGTAAAAGTATGCACTGCTTATCCTTTTCAACCATCAGCCCTTTGGGGCCTGTGGAACATTAGGGTATTGAGTACATCTGCTCCTGGTTGAGGGGTGTGGGAGAAACAGTTCTTGCTGGATGTGGGAGATTAAACACAATGTCTTATTAACTTCTGCAAAATTTATCAGACAGATTTTGATCTTTCCTAATAAAACCCTCAGATGCCAATGCTTTTGCTTATGGATGATAAAACGGAGACCACTTCCTCTCTTCTGCTTGAAAGAAGACTAGGATGAGTAAGCAGTTCCTGAAATGGCCATGTCACAGAATTTCAGGATTAGATGAAACTCTGAGGTTCCCCTTTATGCTATGGATGGGAAAACTGAGGTCCACATGATAAGTAACTTTACCACTTGGAAAAGTGAAAAATTATTGACGGGTTGGACAATAGCAGACCTCAGGACTCCCAGACCAATGCTTTGTATTTATGGGCTGATCTCTCATTCAGAAGTTAAACAATCTCAGCATTCAAATTCCTTAGAATATGTCAGCCATCCTAGTTAAGGATACAAAGTATAGAATGAACGTTGGCCTCTGGACTTCAGTCTCAGCCCCCTATGTAGCTTTAAGTAATTTATAACACTATCTCTAGGTGCCTCAATTTCCTCAACCTCAAAATAGGGTGCAGTAATAGTATCTGAGTGTATAGCCCTGTCTCCCATACAAGCTTGAATGAGGGACTGGCACACAGTAGGAGCTCAGTGGTAACGAGAACTGTGCTGAAGATGAAGATGATGTTCATAATGATGATGATGAGGAAGAGTGTAATGATGAGTGGGCTCTGTTCCTTGTTACTTCACTCCATCCTGAGATCAATGGGCACATGCTTATCTCCTCTAATCTGAGAACTATCCGTGAATAGATAGAGCCAAGACAATCAGCTCAAAAAGGAACACCAAGTAGAACAACTGGCTAGAATGAGATGAAATTTACTACCTCTAAACTTATTAAGAGTAAGAGTGCTGCTTATTTCCTTCAACTCAATTGAGCTGATGTCTGGTTCCTGCATTAGACAATCTACTGAAAAGGGACCTATTTGTTTTTCATCTCTTTCCCAGGTCTCCTCTCAACTTTGCCTTAAACAAATAAACAAATGCTCAGCCCCCAAATTAACGACTAAATAGAAAGCGTAGAAAAGCCTTAATTTAAATTTAACTCCCAGCAAAGGTGAGAGGCACATGACACAGACTGCAGTGTTAAGGAAGCTTATTTCTGACTGTCTTTTCCATTTTGCCAGCTTTGAGTAAGGCCAGGAAACATGGAAAGAGATCTGCCTGATGAGCCCACTTCTAGGGCCTTTTTTAAAAAAGAATATATTTATAAGACATCTATTTTGCTTTTATAGAGCTTCTATTTATGCCTTTATGAAAAGAAAAATTTTTTCTCTTGCCCTTTCCCCGTAAAATACCAATTTACACAACATGGACAGGGAGGATATGTCCTGGAACGTGAGATCAGATTTTACCATGGCCACAGTGGTCTGACAGAGCACCAGCAAGTGCTGAAACGATCAGGGATGACTCCCAGGCTACAGGAAGGGGTTTCCCACAGGAATCTGGAGCACACTGGGAACAGTAACCGACTGACATGCCAATGGGTCATTCCCAGGATGAGACAGACATCACTGGAGAAAAAGGGGGCCCGGTGGTCATGCGGCCATTGTTAACCTAGCGGATTCAGTGGCATCCCCCCGCAGCTTGGGCTTCACTACTCTTGGGCTCCAAGCATCTCCTTCCATATTGTCACGTTGTCTTCTGCTGTGCATGGTCACAGTGCTTCCTTTGGACTAGGATGTGGTCTCACGGCTATCTTAAAGGTGCTGAAGTTGATGCCGCATGGTTGTGGCTTTGCATCTGAAGTCCCACAGCAGGCAACTGAGGGCGTGCTCCGTGCTCCGGCCACTGCGTGCTTCTCACCTTAAGTGGGTGTGTGGTTTTGAATTTATCTTCCAGATGACCCCTCTCTACCTAAAAGGGCCCTGGACAGGCCTTTTCCAGGGGCTTCACCACATAGTCAAAGAATGCAGCTCAATCTAAGGAAAAAATACCACAAAGTACCTATCAAACAGCTGAATTTCCTTTCTTCTGTTTTAATTTTCAGAGGGACACAATGATTACTTTCCGGAGAGCTGTGTAACTCTTAAGAGAAAGGTTGTATGGTACAGAGGGGCCGGGGCTGGGGATATGAACATTTTAAGCCCTATGCAGGCAGATGAGCAGTGCAAAGTGATGTTGACCAAAACAAGACCAGAGTAGACGTGTGCAAAGAGGCACAGACAGAACAAAAGGACGTAAGTTCGGGTGCCTTTGCTTGCCCAGGAGAGACAGCAGGAATGGCCCCACTGCCACACAGGAGGGGCTCCCAACATGTTCCCTGTGCAGTGGCCTTGTTGTTGGATCTCTGGAGGCTGGGCTCTGTACTTTCAGATTCTCTGTCTTCTTTCTTTCCTCCTCCTTCCCACCTTCTTCCTCTCTGGCTCTTTTTGGCAGCTTGCAGAGGCTCATGTTCCTCATGACTACAACAATCTTTTCATGCTCATGTGTCACGTTCTTCCCCATGCCATTTCTTTGGATATGGCAATTCCTCTGACATTTTTGCCTTTCTTTCTTTATTACTTAGAAAGCTTGTGTTCATTCTTCAAGGACTTGTTAGCAAGTTAGTAAACTATAAGCTTTTCTGAGCAATCCCAGACAGCGCAGATCATTTCTCCCTTTTGCTCCTGTCCAGGTAATTCTGCATCACAGTTTTCTATGTCTTCAGCCCCTAGCCTGTTCTTCATGTCCCATGCTAATGAGAAAATAGCCCTTGGATATTCTTCAGACAGAGAATCCAGTTAATGATTTTGGATTAGCCCCCATGATTAGAAGTCTGTAACTATGTACATCCTCCCCTTCTCAGAATCTCTTCTCGTCTTGCCCATTTTAAAACAACCATAACCGGGCGTGATGCCGCAAGCCTATAATCCCAGCACTCTGAAGGCTGAGGAAGAAGGACCGCTCCAAGTTTGAGACCAGCCTGAGCTACAATGTGAGCTCAAGGCCAGCCTGAACTGCAAGACAAGACCCTGTCTCAAAAAGACAAAAATAAATAAGTAAATAAAATAACCATGCCTAACACTGGGATAAGCACAGTTCACATGCTAAAAACATATAATGAATGAATGCAAGACCCTGTAAGGAACTAAGAAAAATGTACCCCAAGTTATATTTGATTTACATTCAAATTTCATTTGTGGGACAGCCTTTGTGTGCATTAAATGGAGATAAATATAAGCAGTAAAGAGAAGTATAGGATAGCTTATATTCATGTAAAGACAATATTATATCTTTACAAAGAGGAAATCTACAAAATTTTGTAGGAAAGTATTATTCTATAATTGTTAGTACCTGCTCTATCAGTTAATCTAATTATAAAAGAAGGCCTCCACCACCTGGATAATTTTTCTGGGATCTCTTCTTTTTACATCTGAGAAAACAAACCTTCTGCAGTTTCAACTGTGAGTCTCTCATGGTGGCTTCTAGTGCAGGTACTGAGTGGGTTGATTTCCTCTGATTGTATCTTGGCTTTCCCAGGGAGGACCCAGTCACTGTTCTGGGTAAAGTTGCAAGAAGCTAGGTCTCAGAATATTTGGCCATCTTATTTCATCTATTTTTTTAACTCTGGCAGAAAGATGCAGTGCGTTTGAGAGACTGAAGCTGGCCCTGTTATGGCACCAAGAAGCAGAAGCCTGTGGAGGTGCCCTGTTATGGTGAAGTGTTTCCTGCCACTCCTAAGGCCACTTGAAGCTCAGCTTTTTTTGCATTTAAATAAAACTTCCAATCATGTTCCTATTATATTTAACCTAAACCTGACGAGTGCTGGGCTTGTACCCCGGGTCACCAAGTGTCCTCACAGAACAGGCACTGAGCACACTGCTGTGTGGCAAGAACAAACAACTTGTTAGGCTTTGAGGTCTTTTACCATCTATCTCTACCCTTCTGCCTTACAGAACACAAGGTAACCACTACAGTCAGTGACATGTCATCTTTAAATAAGAACACAAGGACAACCTGAGCAGAAGGTGCAGAGATTTCCCCTGTAACCCTTCTCCCTCCATGTGCAGAGGATCTCCTGTTATCAACATTTCCCCTCACAACGGGACCTCTCCTACAAGGATGGACACACATTGATACATCAATATGGCCCAGCGCCCATTTTGCACATTACATGCCACTCTTGGCACTGTATATTCTACAGGCTTGAAAAATGTGTAATGACATGGATCCACCCTTACAGTATCGCACAGAGCAGCTTTCCAGTTCTAAGTTTCCTCTGCACTTCACCTACCCCTCCATCCCCTGCCAACCCGTGACAGCTGTTGATGGTTTTATTGTCTGTGTAGTTTTGCCTTTCCCAGAGAGTCAGAGAGTCAGAATTTAACCTCAGATTGACTTCTTTCTAGTAATATATGTTTAAGTTTCTTCCATGTTTTTCCATGGCTTGATAGTTCATTTACTTTTATGACTAAATAATAGTCCATGGTCTGGATGGAGCACTTTATTAATTCATTTGCTTACTGAATGCTCTTTTTTTTTTTTTTTGCAGAAACTTAGTGCTGTTTATTCGCTCCAGTGTGAAACCAGCTTTCTTCAGAGGTCTTGCAGTCAGCCTTCATCACCATCTGGTTTACCTTCTCTGTAGGCCCCGTGCTCCAGATTCTGTTGAGTGTTCACACCCTGCCCACCTGTGTGTTCCGCTCCGTCTCCAGGTGGCTTCTTGCTTTTGTGGTAGGGCAGGAGATTGAGCCACAGGTCCTCCATGATGACCTGGGAGGGAATGTGGGACACTCCGAGTAATCCTGTGGCAGCCTGCAAAACTGTGCCCAGTAAACCAGTTGAAGAAGTTAAGGCTGCAGTAGAGCAGTGGTAGGAGCCAACAAGGCAGGGGAAGAGGGGGAAGGGAGGGAAGGGGAAGGGGAAGAAGCCACAGGAGGCTGGGGAGGTGCAGCCAGGTTGCCATGTGGACCAGTGCCAGAATGGGAAAGAGGAACATCCGGACGAGCCAGCAGGAGGCCCTCCATCAGCCCTGCCTCATCTAGATCAACTGTGGGCCCTCCAGTTAGATATGCAGCTTCTGAATATCCAAGACAGCAAGGCCTTTGCCTGCTTGAGGCAGAATCAGAGGCAGAGGTGCAAGCCTCACCTCCAGCGCCGAAGTCACCTCACGCCTGGCTTCCGGGGCATAATGATGGCGAACCAACCAGAGATGTCAGCAGTGGTCGGTGAGGACAATGAAGAGATGCTTAGCTGCATGACAAATTTAGAGGTGGAAGAACTTGAAGAACCCAGCCATTGCTGCAAGATGTCCATGTTCTTCAAGAGCAATTCTTACTTCCTGAATGAAGTTATTGTGAAGGAATTTCTCTGGTATATCCCTGGGAACAGGACATCCCATTGCCCTGTAGTTCAGTGACATGCCAGTTATAAAGAGGAAGCCCATGGGTACAGGCAGCATGACTGAATGCTTCTTTTTAAACATCCATTATTGATTGTGACAACCCCTACAGCCATATCAGTAATGGTTTAGACCCTGCCATTAACTATGGTGACAACCTGGGTAGAGTTACTTCACTTGCGTTTCACTGATTCTGCTTCCTTTTAAAATGAGGCATGTAAATTAGGGACCGTCTATCTCCAAGGACACATTTCCATGGAATTGGATTGGAGGGTATGTAAGGGCTAACAAAGACCCGAATCTACAGCAAGGATTTTCAGTATTCAGGAATGTGGTACCATCTAGGACAGAAGTGAAGAGGCACAGACAGGAATTGGAAATATATGCCTTTTAAAGCTTTCTAAACCTCCCTTCCAACTCTTGCTTAATTTGAGTACCTAGTGCTGTATCCCGAGAGAGAAGTTAGAAGTAAATACAAGTAAACATAACAATTTCATGCTACAAACACCCTCCTAGAACAGGGCCCTATGCTGAGGACAAAGGCTCTGGGAGGGGAGTCGTAAAATGAAACAGTTTCTCTGGGGCCAAATCCATGTCCCATGGTCTCCTGGTGCATCTCCTTGCTTTGGCTCTCTTCATTCTAGTTTATCCTTCACATGGTTACCAGGGTGATGTTTCTGAAATGAAAATCTGATCACAACATTATTAGTGCTGAAAATTCTTCATGGATTGCTTTTGCCTCCAGAGAAAGCCCAGACTTCTTTCCACTACATTCCAAGCTTCCAATCCCCTGTTGCCCTTTCCTCTGCTGCCCTCACAACCTTGATCTAAAGGACAGACTGAGTTGCCTGGGCTCATAAAGGACTAAACACTTTTTCACCTCTGTGTCTTTGAAGACGCTCTCTTGTCCAGGTGGGATCACACCTTCTTGGCCCCGCTCTCCCTTTGCCCACCTGCCTGGTCTTCCTGTGCAACTAAGGCAGCACCTCCCCTCCAGAGCTATCCCACTTCCCTTGGAATCATTCGTGTCTGCCTCTGGATTTGCACTTCCCTGGTTTATGTGTTTTTTTGTGTGCAGTTTTGTCTTCCTGCTTGTGTGTCAGCAACACCAGGAGCCAGGTCCACCATGGGCAGTCAACAGTGCTGTTGAGTGCATCTGTAGAAGTAAGCAAATGTATCTCAGCTACAGAATGAACCTTCTTTTCTTACCTACCTGAAGATGAGTAGCTTAAAAATGAATAAATAGGTTGTCCTCTAAGGGAATCTCATAAACAAACACCCCTAAATGCCGAGAATTCAGCCTTGGAATCAAAAGTATATGTGGGGTTTTTGTTTTTGGCTTCTGTTTTTCTGCCCTAACTACTGGAGCCAATGACTTATGGAAGCTGAGCTGTTTGACTACATTAGTAATGATTGCACAGCACCTGATGAACACCTAAAGGCTGCCAATAACTGCTGTACTGCAAGTGTTAGCAGCAGGCTTTCACACGGGGAGGATTTATGAAAATCTTAAAGGACTGTGGAAGAGCTGCATGTATAGTGTGAATGATCTTCAGGTAACATCATCAGAAGGATTCTGGCACTTCTATCAATCACCCTGACATCAAATTTAATGGTCTCCACCTTCTCCTTGCCACCTTCATGTCTGCTATGTGGATGAAATATGGGATGGAAAAAAGTAATAAGATGTTTCCATGGCTCTGAAAAGAGGACCATTTCTATTGCCTAAAGATGTAAACTCTCCTGATTGCAACTTCCTCCGACACCCTGGGCTGAGCTGAGCCTGCGTAGCCATATTCCTTCGGCACTGAATACCTTTCCTGTCAACTGTGTTCCCAGTTTATAAGGTTCACTTCAGCGCAAGCTTATGTGCATTGCTTTTTTCTTGCAGTGGTCAGTAAGCAACTGAGGGCAGGAGCCACATTCCTAGTACTAGCACAAGGCCTGGCACACTGACTGCAGGTCCTGCTCAGTAAAGTAGTGGATAAGGGAACCTGCTCAGACAGCTTGTGTTCATTCCAGCACGTTATGTAGTTGGCTCGAGGGGACGGAAATAGTTGTCAGATGTGTAAATGGTGCGTCCATGAGAATGTACATTTATTTGCTCCAGTCTGATCATTTATTGCAAGTCAACAATCTTGTTTGTCTATTTTCTAGTATACAAACACAAGTTGCAAAACATCACTAATAATTTTGGCAAATATTTTGCAAACTGCCCTGACTCCAAGCACCACAGGCCAAGATTTACTTTGGTAGTTTATGTTATATAAACAATAGATTTTAAAAACAATTTTCTAGTACAAGGGTATAGGGTTTTTCGGAATATGCTTAAAACCTACACATCTCTTTCTTATTCCTTTGGAAATGCACAAACAAGCACATAACCAGGCCTGGTCTCTACTCTTCCACTGAGAAGCATCATTCTTGAAAGTTTCTAGAAGAGGTTCCAGGATGCGGGTCACACCACATTCCCTGAACTCAATGTTCCATCTCTGGTCCTGAATACAGTGCGTGGTGGAGGCAGAGTGAACATGTGCTGAATGAATCTCTGATGCTCTTTCTTGTCAACTATGTTTGCATTTTTTTTTTTGTCTAGTTTCAACCCATGGTTCTCTGATCTTGTCTTCCAAGGATTTGCTGTGCATTTTAGTTTCTTCCATGTGTGGCTAGACCGGTACTTTTAGGGACAATCACTTGTGCTTACAGTTGGGGGAAGAAGGAGCTGCTGCCTGCCCTTCAAGTGATTGTTAACTCTTCTTCAAAGCTCTTCTTTTTTGTTTGAAGCCAGGCCCTCTAAATAAATTTATAAGAACGAGTTAAAATTACCAGGTCACTCCCATTCCCTTGGGAGAGGACTTCCCACTTCCTTCCTTCCTAGACCCCACATCAGCTCCTGGCTTTTGGCTTCTGCCCAAATCTGGGCCCTTTTATGCCTGAAGTGAAGGATCTGGAAAACACTAATGCTAATGGAGCTGAACAACACATCTGGGGGACACTAAGTGTGTGCAGAGCTTGTGGTCCCACAACATCCAGGCATAAAGTCACAAACCAAAGAGGAGATAAGGAGTGTTTTATTGCAAATAAGACAATAGCTCCTAGATTTCCAAGAGGGTCCCTAATAGGTGGCCCCTGAGGCTCTTGGGCAACAGCACTTTATAAAGCAAAATCACAACTTGGATAATTATGGGCCAAGCTGCACTCCACATATAGGATCACAAATCTGGTTGCTTAGCTAATAGTACTACAGGCAGCTAAGTTAGAAATTAATATAGAGTCAGAACAGGACTGGACTGTCAAGGAAGTCAGCAGAAAAAACAAAGACAGGACTGTCACTGGAGATGCATCTGAGGAAGACCAGGCCTCAAGATAAAGATACAATGGTCTTGCGATGGAATTACAATGGTGAGCTCCTACCATCTTGTCTAGTGAAACTCTGTATTATCTTTAATGTTTTGTCAAAGAATTATTCTCTTATTCTCCTTAATGGTTTGAGCAATCTTCCATTCTTACATCTGGTAATCTGAGCAATGTAGTTGAGGATAATGATATGTAATATAACAACCATTGCTGATTCATATTATTTTGTCTTGAGACCCTGTATCACTTTGAATGTTCTTGCTTTGATTTCTTTATGTTCATAATACTGGTATGCTGCTACTGTTCTATTTTTTGTTTGTTTATATCTCATTTACTACTCTCTTTAAAATAGAAAAAAAAGATGCAGTGACCTGACCTACATGCCTCCCAAGGGATCAGCAGTAACTTGGAATTGTAGTGTAATTGGTATCACCTGGTCCTGGAAAGCCCAGACAGACACTAGTCACTCGGGTGGGTGACCAGACCACCCAAACCCATCCCTTCCCCAAAATGCCTTTGATTTTTCCATGTACCCTTGCTATGTGACCTGTTTCCCTATTGGATCAATATTAGCTAAGCGGCTGTACTTTTAATCTTATTGGTTTATTAGTGTTTGACCCACTTAATCTTACTGGTTCATTAGAGTGTGTATGCACCTTGTGATTTGGTACCCACCTCATGATTTTGCTCTATAAATCATTTTTAGAGAAAAGATGTTGGTGGCAAACCCACTTTTGGGACTGCTGCTATCTCTCATGAGCTGTCTCTCAATAAACCTTTCCCACTCTTAATCTCCATTGTTTCTTGGAATTCATTCTTCAGTTTCAGGGGACACAAATTCCCCGTACATGACACCTATCAAATTGGGAGTTATATTTCTCCTATATCAATATTCGTTCAACAGGGTAGTGTAGCATGTAGCAAGGACACATGGCAAACATCATTAACTGCAGCTGATCTGTAACGTCTAACGTGGAAATAACAAAGGCATCTGGGAAAGGGATGAGAGTATGGGTCAGGGTGTTCTGCTTACACACATATGTGTCTTATGCCTATCTGGATTCACTGGATCAGATGGTGCTAATTACAATTTACTCTCCAGCTGCTGTTTATCGCTAGGGAGACCTGCATGCCTGGCTCTTTTCAAATTCACCTGCCCCCACAATTGTGATTGCTTAATCTTTTGCACCTCCTTCCTCAAGGACCTGATCCTTTTCTGACTGCCTGTTAATCTCTACCTAGCTGTCTATAGTAATACTTCCCTCCAAAGAGAACCATATGCATACTTACCTTCCCTTAGTGGGGTCTGCAGTCAGGCCTTTGGATGTTCAAAGGACACTGGATGGGAAGGTCCAACACATGAGCCCTTGTCTAACATGTTTTTCTTGGGCACTGTTTTAGCCAGAATTCGCCAGAATAATAGAACCAATAAGATGTGTATATAAGTATAGAGATAGAGGTTTATTTACACACATAGGTGTGTAGGCAGAATACCCTGACCCAGCTTCCTTAATTTAAGGAATTAGCCCGTGCCACTATGAAGGTCAACAAGTCCAAAATGTGTAGAGTGAGTGAGAGGCTGGAAACCAAGGATGAATCAATACAGCAGTTCAAGTTCAAAGGCCATCAGTAGAGTTTCCTTTTGCTGGTAAGGTGAGCCT